TTCTCCAGGTTATCAACTTGATGTGAGCGGGTCTTTCAACTCCACCAGCTTTTACATGAACGGAACACTTATCACAGCCTCGGCAACAGATTTGAATGGAGTAACGGGATATGGAACGTATCTGAGTGGTATCACTCCGGGTTCTGTCGCAGCGAGCAAAGCTATGGTTACCAATGCAAACTCAGCGATTCAGTTTGGATCGGGTAGCTCCACCACATACCAGATCAAATACTTTGCGAGCACGAGCTTGAGAGATAGTATTCGAGTCTATCGTGTGAATGATTCCCGTCCACTGATCATTGGTACGCAAATTGATGGATCCGCCAGCACCAATAGAACATATCCCATTCTAAATATCGTGTCTTCGATTGATCCCACTGCACAAGTAGGTGGTGTTTCAGCTACAAGCGCTGACTTATTCAATATCAACTGGAATGATAAACCATCTGTTGGTTTTACGTCTCAAACGCATAGATTTGGCTTTAATGTTGGAAATAGTCAGCCTTATAAATGTGGATTCCCTCATACATCTACTCTTGCAACTTCAGCTGATGCCTTTTGTATAAATTCAGCTGGTTCATCCCCAACACCAGCGAGTGGATGTCTCTCAGGCCTCGGACAATACAGTATTATATTATACTGCACGGCCCGGCGCCCCATAATAATAACTGCAATATGACGAAGAACAATAATAGTAATTGTACCAATATCCGTATATTGTACCACTTACCTACCTCTACTCCGTGGTGATGAGCGATGCCGCGTTCCACAAGTCACGGTTAACGCGAAGAAACGCCAGCATTTTAAAGTTCGCAGGTAGCATGCACGTCCGCTGAGGCGTCAAGACGAGCTTACACTGCAAAAAAAGCCGCTCAACTGTGTTCGACGTTGGCGGTACCACCTTCGCCAGCTCGTAAAAGCTCACCGTCGCAGCATCCGCAGTTCGCATCTGCTATCCTCTGTCGGAGATTCTCTCTCTGGTGTCTTATGCCAACGTCCTCAGTTACATAGTTGAAGGATCCCAACAGTACTGTAGTTATTTATAATGTATGTAGGATCAATGAGGTCGCTGCTTGCCGAGGA